ACTTTTGGCTTTGTGGAACGTGGCTGAAGTGAAAGGGTGTATTGAAGATACTAGTTATGTTGCCCTAAGTCGGTAAAGGAACAACCTTGGAACTGTGTTTAGGAAAATACCTTGGAATGGGAGGAGTGCAAAGATTGTGAAAAAGCAGTCATTGGCAGTAGCAGGATGTGGTGGCTCAGGTGGCCATCTACACAGCAAAGTGTGACAGCTCCAGCTGTAGTTAGGTTTCTGCAGCTCGTGGAACCAGATTTGCTTATTTTAGCAAATACAAAATGGCTTAAGTGTAAGAACTGAGTATTTCCAGAGAATATTCATGTAAAACTTTGTAGGCAAGCGTCTCGGATGAAATATGTAGCAAAAGAGAGTGCATGATGTAGCAACGAAACTGAAGAGATCTCTACAGATCGCCCAAATGCTAAGGTCATAGTGCAAAGCACAACAGAAGATTGGTGATGGCAACATGAAACATGGTGGACCTACATTGAAGGAGGTCAGTGCTCAGTTAACTGGGGCTAAATTTGATGCTTTAAGTGCTTGCCAAGACACACACACAGCCACAGTCTGTGGACTCTGGTATAGCGCTGAGCACGTTACACTCTGGTGGGGCCTCACAGAGACCATGTTTCAGTGAAAAGCAAGTCAATCATGTCATCAATCCTCCACGGCCGTCTCTCCTGAATTCCCTGTTGTATAGCTATTTCCTCCAAATGAAAACTTTCTCTCATGCAAAGCATAGAAGCTTAGAAGACCCTGGACATAAAATGTACAAGGCTCAGAAAACTGAAACAAACAAGTCACGAGAATGCTCATACCCAGGGTTTTACAAGGAAAGATGGTTTGATCGGTATGGCTAGGCTGAATTGCTGGCAAATGGGGGGAGCTTTCAAGACTCCTGTCTCAGAGCTGAGTGGGCTTTTCAGGAATGCGGCAGAAAACCCTGGGACCGTGCTGCCCAGCAAATGTCGTTTTGAAAGATGCTTTGACGGCTGTTCCCGGGTGCCAGCTTGACTACATCTGGAATTAGTTAAAACCCAAGTGGCTGGGTACAGCTGTGAGGCATTTTCTTAGTTAAATCACTTGAAGTGGGAAGACCCAAATCTTCTGGGCTGGGAAGATCCATCTTAAATCTGGGGCACACCTCCTGGGGCCGGCCGAAGGACAAGGAAGAAGGAAGCTCCTGCTCTCTGCTTGCTCTTGTAAGACCTGGGGTCTCACAGCTCAGGAGTTCAAGATCGCGCCCTTCCCAGAAACTCCCCCAGACCAAGACTCGTTGTAAAAGCAAGAGGTTTATTAACCATTGCGCAATGGGGTCACCCCTGCCGGTCAGCAAAGAGTGGCACCGGGAGACAAAGGCCTTTAGGTTTTTAAAAGAAAAATTGCGGGAAATTTGAAGTTGCAGTTTTGGCAATTTAGGATTGAATGAGGAAGCTATAAAGTAAGATAATTGGTTAGTCTTAGGTGCTCAAGCTTGGCCAGTCCTGCCAAGTGTGAATGCAGCTGCAATTGAAGGTGGGGTGGTTAGCTCATCCTTTGGCTGGAGGTCAGGAGCTACTCAGAAGAAGGATTGAGGCCGTCTGGGTTCGTTGCTAAAAAACACTATCTTGAAGACAAGGGTCTGGTCATTCTTTTTGCTGAGTGAAGGTCATTGCTTGCTTGCTTTTTTATATCTGTCCTCACAGATAGGGTCACATTCCTCCATTTTCTGGAAAGGTACTAAGAGGCTTTAGCTTAGCCTGAACCTAAAACTCAACACTATAGGCTTTAGAAGACATACAGGTTACAAAGCTAGTCTAACCGTTTCACTCTCACTAGCAAATTCATTCCTTCACTGGCGTTGGCCTCTCTCTCCAGGATTCTGGGGCAGTTCGTGCTTGCGTACTGTCATCTTTAACCTTCCTGACCACCTCTGACCAGGACTCTGATGATTAGACTTACAGCTCATTCAGAAGTTGTGGTGGTTTGAATATGCTTGGCCCATAGGGAGTGGCCTTGTTGGAGGAAGTGTGTCACCGTGGGGGCAGGCTTTGAGGTCTCCCGTTCGGGTCTCCTATGCTCAAGCTCTACCCAATGTGGAAGTCCAGTGTCCTTCCGCTGCCTGTGGATCAAGATGCAGAGTGCTCCTCCAGCACCATATCTGCCTGCACACTGCCGTGCTTCCCGCCTTGACGGTAATGGACTAAACTGCTGAACCTGTAAGCCAGCCCCAATTCAATGTTTTCTTTATAAGAGTTGCCGTGGCCAGGTGTCACTTCATAGCAATAGGAATCCTAGGACAAAACTTCATCCAGGATAGTCTGTCAGTTTTAGAATTTAATTGGCAAATCCTTTTCCTCACTTGAGAAATTACTGATAAACTGGGCAGGGTGGTGCATGCCTTCAATCCCAGCACTTGGGAGGCAGAGGCAGGGGGATCTCTGTGAGTTCCAGGACAGCCAGGGCTACACAGAGAGACCCTGTCTTGTAAACAAATATTGATGGGTTCTGAAAAATTAGATTATGCACAGTCTACTAGGACCACCAACAACTGATACGGCTTGAACTGTATCCACACAAATGATGTATTGAAGTCAAACCCGTATTTCGCCTTATTTGAAAGCATTTGGGCAGATGTAATCAAGTTAAACTACAGTAGGATTCCATCCAGTGTGACTAGTGGATTCATACGATAAACAAGGGGTTTAAAGGGATAATGCAGGTGAATATGATCAAAATACAATACGCACTGCATGAAATTGCCCATAAAATTTAAAGCATGCCAGGGGGTGAGGCAGGCTGGGATAAGACTGAGATAGATTGGAGTTATGCTCCCACAAGTCAAACATCCCGGCTTCCCCGTACAGAAAGGTAAAAGAGCCCCCTTCAGCAGGGAAAGGAGCCCTGTCACGCTGATTTCTGACTTCTAGCCTGTATACTACGAGAGAACAATGTGGTTACCTTAAAAATACAACTGCAAAAAAAAAAAAAAAAAAAAAAAAAAAAAAAAAAAAAA